AGCCATCCCTGTCTGATCATAGGCACATTGTCTTCGGGTTGGGGAATTTCTGCGGCGAGGTTCGCTTATTCAGGAGCCCAGTTAAAACCGACTGGGCATCCTTCAGAGCGGATCTTCGGGGCAGAATTGCCTCGAACCTTAACACATCTCCTATAAACACAGTTGATGCGCTTGACGAGGCGGCAGATCGTCTAACTAGGTGCATAGTTACATCCTTTGAGGATAATTGTCCTTTGAGCAAGGGAAAGAGCAACAGGGCTAGTTGGTGGGGTCCTGAACTTGCCTCTCTTAGGAAGAGAGTAAGGGCCCAATTTAGGCGAGCAAAGATAACCAATAATTGGGATATATACCATACAACTCTGACAGAATATAACCATGCAGTACGTAAGGCCAAAAGGCTTTCATGGAAAAATGTTTGTGGAAATTTAGAGAGTATCAAGGATACTTCTAGAATACATAAGGTACTTGTTAGAGACAGGCATGTTACTTTGGGTGCCGTTGAGGGACCGGATGGTGTAATGGCTTTTGAACCTACCGAAATACTAAAGGTTATGGTAAAAACTCATTTCCCTGGTTGTATTGTTTCTGAAGTGCAGCAGGAGGAGGTGAGTCCAGAGCGGCCTAACCTGGGCCGTCGTGCCACTCATTCTATGTGGAGCACTGCTTGCCGCATAGTCACCTTCAGCAAGGTAAGATGGGCTGTTGGCTTATTACGACCCTTCAAATCGCCGGGTCCTGATGAGGTAAGACCTGTTTGTTTGCAGGAGGGTCTTGATACAATTATACACCCACTCTGTAAACTTTTCAGAGCCAGCTTAGCCTTAGGACATATTCCCTTAGGGTGGTGTAATTCGCGTATCGCATTTATTCCTAAACCAGGAAGGGATAGTTACACTGACCCTAAGTCATTCAGACCCATTTCTCTATCTTCTTTCTTTCTTAAGATCCTAGAAAAGTTGGTCTCAAGATATATGATGGATACAGCTCTTAGGACACATCCTTTACATATTAATCAGCATGCGTATGTCTCAGGAAGATCATGCGAGACTGCGTTGCACCAACTTGTAAGCAAGATTGAGAAAGCTCTAGAGAGCAGTGAAGTGGCCCTGGGTGCCTTTCTCGATATTCAAGGTGCTTTTGACAATACTGGTACTCCAGCGATTCTTAATGCGGTGAGAGCAAGAGGTTTTCACGGTATAATATGTAGATGGATTGAATCCTTGCTTCTCAGTAGGAAGGTTAGGCTCTCACTCCACAATGATACGATCGAGGCAAGAACTACTCGAGGATGTCCTCAGGGGGGGGGTTCTTTCTCCTCTACTTTGGAATTTGGTAGCAGACGACCTTATAAGGACCCTCAACGAAAGTGGGGTTTTCGCCTTAGGTTATGCTGATGATGTTGCAATCCTTGTGGTTGGAAAGTTCCACGGAACCATAACTGACCTTATGAATAGAGCTTTAAGGGTAGTGGACCGTTGGTGCCAGGAAGTTGGGCTCTCTATAAATCCCAGGAAAGTTGTAATGGTACCCTTCACAAGAAGGAGGAAACTGGATGGGATCGGCCCACTAAGACTGCAAGGTACTGTAATAGAGCTGCAGAATCAGGTGAAGTATCTTGGTGTAATTTTGGATAGATCACTTCACTGGGGACCACACCTTCAAAAAGTCATTGAGCGTGGCAAATGGTCCCTTATGGCATGCAGGCGGATGGTAAGTGGCACATGGGGGTTACAGCCAAAAATTATGCACTGGCTGTATGTATCTGTTGTTCGACCCGCCCTTACATATGGTTCGCTTGTGTGGTGGCCAAAGATGGAATCAACTATAGCTGTTAAAGCTTTAGCAGGAGTTCAGAGGCTTGCTCTTATTATGATAACTGGGGCAGTAAGTAGCTGTCCTGGAGCGGCACTTGACTGTCTACTTGACATGCTACCTATTGACATTTACATTAAGGTGGTAGCAAGTAAAACAGCCCAACGCCTTAGATGCGAAAACTTATGGATAGCCTCAGGGAACAATAAAGGGCACTCTAAAATTGTTCAGGTGGTACATAATGATGAATTGGACTTACCTTCAGATCACATGTCCAAAAAATACTCCTTTGGAAAGCCTTTCAAAGTACTAATACCAGATAGGAAGGATTGGTCTGGCGGAAAAGGACCCATACCCACAGGTGACTTAGAATGCTATACTGATGGTTCTAAGATCAAAAATGGGGGCAGTGGAGCAGGTGTGCATTGGATGAATGGAGGCACTGGTATTTGTCTTCCAATGGGGGTGTACCCAACTGTCTTTCAAGCGGAGGTCACTGCCATTCTAGTTTGTGCTCAAGAACATCTTAACAAAGATATCAGAGACAAAACAATTAATATCTTTACTGATAGTCAAGCGACCTTAAAAGCATTAAACTCTTACGAATTCAACTCCAGGCTCGTGTGGGATTGTCTTGCTTCTGTGTCTGAGTTGGGTAGGAGAAATGACCTTACGCTTTGCTGGGTACCAGGACACTCAGGCATTAAGGGAAATGAAGCTGCAGACAGATTGGCAAACACTGCCTCTGCGACAACATTGTTAGGCCCGCAACCCTTCTGTGGCATCTCACGAAACAGTGTATGTTCTGCGATTGCGTCATGGGCCAAGGAAAAGCATCGCAAACGCTGGGTCGATGTTCCCCTTCTTAGGGTCAGCAAGCTTACTCTGTTTAGGCCTTCCAAAAAGGTTGCCTGTGACCTCTTGAGACTAGACAGACGTAGAATTAAATTAATTGTTGAACTGATAACTGGTCATGGAAGATTCAGGAAACATCTACAACGGATGGGCTTATATGATGGTGAACCGATCTGTAGGTACTGTGATAGGTCAGAAGAGACAGCTGATCACTTACTCTTTGATTGTAATGAGCTCTCTGACGCTAGATCGATAACTCTTGGAAATATGGCTAGAGGTAGATTTCTTCCTGAGGATGAACTAATTGGGAAGCTACAGGCATTCATTGGGCGCCTCAACTTGTAGGTCAACAAGAAAGCAATTAAGTATCTGGGGTGCGCAATAATTCGATTTCGGATGAAGTGCTTTAAGGTCTCGACCTGCCCCTGTTAGATAAGATAAGATAAGATAGGCGGCTGTTGTCACCACTTAGCTGCCCAGCTATCGTGAACTTGAAATTAGCATCAGAGAACTAAAACAAAAGTTTAGAGAACAAATATGGGTTATCAGCTAAATAAGGCGAGTAGACGGAGAATACTAAAGTACTATTCCTCATTATGGATTATATGTTTGCTAGTTAATATAAAATCAACAATTACTTGTACATTATGAATGGCTGTAAGGTGTGATTGAAAAAAATACACTTTGTAATTCTGTCAGAAATAGGGAAACACAGACCTTCATGTTGAGCCAGATGGAAAGGGAGAGGGATGACAACAAGTGGATTAAATGTTTATGATCAAGCTAGTATCAAGTGAAATATTTATCGCAAAATAAGATACCAACCACTCCTCTCAACGAGGATTCGTAATGATATTAAAAACATATTAAGTGTACAGGTCCAGGAATCGAGGTATTTTCATAAGAATATTTTAATTATAAATTACATTTTAAAGTGGCTTATTGATTTTCCCACGTGAAAGTATAACAATTAGAAAAAATAGGAAGTATTTTCGCGTATAATTAATTTGGGTAGATCATGTAGATTATTTAAAATACCCCCGCCGCAGCAAACCTGTAGACTAAGCGAATTCCATTTGTCTGATTTGATTTTCAACTACTCAAATAACATTAGATTTAACAAGTGCCTAGGTTTGCTGCATACAGGGAGGGTAATAAAGGTTCTTTTTAGTAAAATATTAATAGCTTAGTATAAAATAAATAGATTTGCCAAGTTTGATCCAAATATACCCATAAACAAGCAAACTACAGTTTACTTATTCTCCATAAGAATAACATGGGAGCTTTTAATTTACAATTTTCTCCGTAACCAATAAACATATAAAAACACTTCAATATACTAAATTATTTGCTTTTAAGCTCTTCAGAATAGTCTAGAGAAAACTTGGGAAATTTTAGGTTTTGAGGGTCAAAACCGAGAAAACCCAAATTCACCCCATAAATCCTCCCATAAAACCTCGTTCCCATGGTCCGATCATGCTGGTTCGCGAACTCGTACGAACCAAAATAAACGTAGGTTTACAAGTTTGCGCCAAATTTAATCGAAATCGAATCTTTTTTGTTCGAGTTATCGTGCTAACGGACGGTGTTTTTGGTCTCTGGGGACCTCAAAACGAAAAAGTAAATCAGTCCCGGGTCTAGGTCTTACCAATAGCTTATTCCCTAAATGGTAAATTCGCTAAAAAATAACACCTACCAAACACTAAAATTCGAATCGCAATGGAAAACTCTGTAATAAAAAAACCTCAAATGGGTTTTGAACGCCTCATAAGTTGCGTCAGCTCTTGTAGCACCTAAAAGACTTTAACGAATGGGTTGACAAAAGACTAACAACACAACAAATCAACGTGTCATAAAACAAAGTGCACATAAACATAAACACCTCCAACTCAAATTCCTTCCACATCTTCTCCCTTTGTGGGGAGGGGTAAAGAGGACCGATCGAGAGGGGGGCGCTGGCGCTTCTATTCTCAGTTTCTTCAGTCAGTGTTGTGTTGTGTGTCGTAGAGTAAACACGTGCTGTCAGGATTCTCTCACGTAAGTTATATCGCGTAAATATTTGGAATGTAGAGCAATTTTACTTTAATATTCTTTCTTGAATTTATAGCTATATTTATTGCACTTTTTAACATATTTTTGTTTAGCTAATAATAAATATATTTTTAATCAGTCCTTAATTCTACAACTTTAGATCAACTTTATTTGAAACGTCAAACAATGAATTGTCAAACAACGTCAAACGTAAATTAATGTTATGACGATTTAAGTAATGTAAATGATAATCTACGTCGATGGTAACCTCTAAATAACTATATGCAATTACTGAACAAAAATATATTTAATTAAAACAAGATTATTATTACAATGAACCTAGATAAAATAACTTATAGAATGTCAGTGTTTGAAGACAACTGTTGCACTCAACTATTTACAAACATTTCACATCAAATGTTTTCTTGATCAATATAATTAATTAACTATGTGTACCTTCACAATGAACGTTCCCTGCTTTGCTATGCAGATTTATGAGTTGAAAAGTTAGTGTTGCCAGCTATTAATTAATCCTCAATACTCTACGGGTTTTTTGACATTGCACTTTATTTTGAAATACCTTTTAGGGCAAAACATTAGCATAAGTGATATAAGTTTAATAGTTTCTACCATCTACGGCAATTACAGTAATGTATCCAAAATTGACACTAATTTAATGAACATCGTAAATAAATCTCGTAATGTATATATATTTTACTCTTTTTAGAGTGTATGTTACAAATCTGTCCTTCCTGCAATTCAAAATCATTGTTACCTATGCATTGTTGTATGACTGAACATATATTTTCCGAATCATAAAATAACAATTATTTTACATTTATATACAAAGTAACATCAATAACTTGAAACTTCTGTACTGAACAAATAATGCAAACAGGGTTCTTCCCAAATTCAATTCACCTAAAGAACTTGTCCACACCCTATCTTAGACATTCCTAGATCAAAACTTGTCTAGCGAGGTTTTAGGCACTTATTGGCTTAACACGTATTCAAATAAATATGTTATATTCTCTTTCAGGCCTTTTTCATCTTGAACTGTTTTGACGATCAAATACTCTTCATCAGAACACTTCTTTACTCATTCCAACTCCTCCATCTTATTCCTTTTTGTCTAAGGAGACACCAAATCTTCAACCGTCTTGGTGTCTTCAGCAGAATATTGCATCACTCAAGATCAACCTCCTTCACTTCCTTTGCCTCAATCTTCTTTTTCTTCTTCTTGGTCTCCTTAGAAGACACCAGATCTTCAGCCATCTTGGTCACATGTTCCACCAGTGAAGGGTTTCTTCTCACCAACAGTTTGACATCCTCAGTGTTGATGCTGGATCTCTTGGCGTGTTTGGCAAACGCCTCCAAATCCTCCGCGTACACTTGTAGCTTCTTCCAGACAAGTTCCGCAATCAGCTGTTTGGCATTTTTGTCCATCTCCAGTTCACCCAGCAGCGTGTTGTTCTCGCAGACGAACTTGGAGATTTTAGATACCTCAAAGTAGCACGCCAACTTGAGTTTTTCTTCCGTGCTCGTCTCTGTACTCATTCTGGAAAATTGTTTTCAAATTATTTAACAAATATTTTTTTCATTTCAAGTGTAACTCAAAATACAGCATGGTACTCTAGCTTATTGATGGTAAAATTTAAAACTTGTAGAAAGACAATAAATTGATAAAATATAAATAAACATAACTGTAGTCCATTTACTAGGTTTAAATATGTGAAAGTTAAATACCAATGTTATATAGAAGTGGAAACTCAGTAAGCCACCAGGGCGAAGCCCTAAGGCAATATGGATAGGTTTTATTTCGTACCAAGTAGTTTGGATATATTCAGTAAAAGAATGAAAATAGTCCAAACTAACCAAGATTTTTCAGTATTTAAAAGTGATCACATGTTGTCTCCTACCTACGTTGAAAGCAACAAACCTAACTCGAAACTAACTTTTCAGTATACAGTATAACTACTGGAAATTTATTATTTCGTTGACAGCCTCATGTTCATTAGTAGTATTAAATGTAATGTGTTGAGATTATATTAGCGTTGTGCTCGTACTCATTTAATAGGATTCGCCACACATGAAAATACCTCATTTGGATTATTTTTTGTTGTTCTTATTTTATTTTACTACTTTATTAATACGTAGTAAGTTGAATTTGAAATCTAGATAAAGCATAGTAAAACAATACATTCCCATTGCCCATGCTTTATCCAATTAGCTATGTTTGCAAAAGTAGCATTGCACAACCCATCGACATAGTATTGGTCGAGTTTCTTTTATTCTGGTCTAACAATACACCACCATACCTCTACAGTAATAAACAGTGCAGAATTATTGTTCTTTTCTGCAATTTGCCTTTCTCGGCTGTGAGCACAAATTGTACTTTCCCGCGGTAAGAGAGGTCGGGTAAAAATTACAACTACAGACCCGTCGGGCATATACACGACTACACCCACGCTTTCTATGCAACTGGCTTATTTATAAGTTAGAAACTATCATCTAAATATTTACTTCTTAAAGTTACTAACTTAACGTTAATCATCGCATGAAAATATTATTTACGATGAATAGTTGACATTCGTGGGAAAGTATTAAGTAAACAAGACTAGATTATAAATCCTGGAAACGTTAAGAAAGCTTTCGCTATATTTTGCTACCCAGCCTCTGAAATGAAGCAACTGCTTCGACCTTGTATTGTACAAAATTATTTCCGAACTTAACATTTATTGTTGCTTATAAAGATACCTACAGCCATTTCAAATCGACTTCGGTTGAATTGGAGGGAAATTTCAATTCAGTTGACACAAGATAAGGCCAACTGTGATCACGAAAAATACAGTTGTATACCTGGAAAATGCTCAGCGATAAAGCCACTGGTCATTTCAAAAATTAAATATACATTGATTGTTTTTCCAAAGGTCAAACTTTATATTTGCGAAGGGATTTAGCTGGTGAAAATAAAGAATAGGTAATCTTTTCAATATGTGAATTAAAAACTTAGTAATTACTTAATCTTCTATGCAATATTTTATTTCAGTTTTTTATTTTTTTATTTATATATCCAGATAACACATGGCATGCACAACCCACATGTCTAGCCAACAATAACAAATTACAACAACTTATACGACTAATAACAACTTACCAGTAAAACAATTCAGCTAAACTAATTTACTGTTTTCCAACCAAGGTATAACAGATTTTTTAGTTTTTCAACGAAGTAAGTTATAACAGATTTTCTTAACGGAGCACTCGCTAAATACACACGTAAACCGTATTTAAATGGAGATTAACTCTTGACTGTAATAGAATCGTTTTTCGCGTCCAATAACTCTTGTGAGCATACAGAAATTTGCTGTTTTGTGGAATTATTATTACGAGTAAACACAAATAGACGCGTGAGTACCTCCTGGATCTTTTATGACAGCACCAAATTATTGTCCACACACTAACAGTGGAAAATATGTATAAGAGCGTTTAAACTATTTCCTATTTAACTGTTCGAGAACAAATTCACTGGTTTTCTAAACTTTGACCCTTAAGATAAAATATGTTCAACCCGAGTAAAAAAATCGAATTCAAACCATGGAGCTTGCATGATATTTCAGTCTGTTTGTATCCTCAGCAGACAATTTCGCGCAATAATACGAGACGTCCAGACTTATTGTTTACTCTATACTCTATGGATCATGGGTATATACACAAACTTTCCACAAATCAGGCCAGCTTATTAGCACAGAAAAACACGATACTCGCAGATATTGCACAGAGCATGTCGAGAGCGGCGCGTAGAGTGCAAAACACACAGAGCACTCTCGAATAATTCGCGAAACATGAGAGGCGGAGAGGCGCATAGAGCACGGCGCACGAAGATGAGCACTCATTGCGCAAGTAGGTCGTGAGAACGGCGCAGCACGGCGCGGCGCGGTGCGACGTTCCCAGCTGGTGATATGCCAGTCTGAGGATTAAGTGGCTTATAACTAACGTGGCAATTGGTATCAACTTAATGTCTCAATTTGACACTTTTATTGCGGTTTAAGTGTGATAATAGTGTTAATAAGTGTTAATTCTATACCGTCGATTTGGTTTGGGCTTGCGTCGCTCAAGGGCAGTGTTTACCCAAACAAAGCTTTCAAAATCATTGGATCGTTTAATTTAAGGAACATTTATTAGGTTTAGGTAGTTATTAAACGTTTATAGCATTCATTGTTTAATAGAGGGATTCAGGAATTTTATTGTATAGATAGTTTTGTATCACAGTACGACTACTACATTATAAGCTATCTATGAATCGATCATATTTTAAACGTTTGAATTCAGCGAGCACAGAATATATTTCTATTCTGTGCTCTCTGGTTTGAATTGTGATAGTAATGAAGTTAAGCTTGGTTAGGGTGGTAAAACATCATTCTTTGCGGAAACAACTAATGGGTGATGACAAAATGTTGGTTCATTAAAAAATTTATACAGTTATTTTGGGGACGACTTGTACATATTTTAGTGAAAGTAATACGTCATAGTAGTTGTACAGTTAGGAGTTTACCTAACTGTAAACCATAAATAACAGAGTTGATACGTAACACTTCCAAGATCAGCTCTGTCCATGATAATACTGTCATTCATATTTCTGTTACAGACAAATCTACCAGCCAAGCCAACAAACGATGTAAGTGAAATAGTGACCAAAGTGCAAAGTGAAAAGTGACAAAATGGAGAAGAGCGGTTCAGTGACGAAAAAGCCTAAACAGCTGACAAGTCCGGTGCCTCCCCCGCCGTTACCTCCTCTCCCGGACAAACCCGCGGGAGACCTGGTAGCCAAGAGTCCTCCGGAGTCATCAACTCCCACCAAAGTAGGAACTTTACAGTCCAGCAGTGAAGAAACCCCGCGAAGAGACACGGACACAGTGCGAGTGCTGCAGTACGGCGGACTACAGATGGTATGCGGAGTGTTGATGTTGGTGCTCGGAGTGCTGACGTTGGTGCACAAGGCGTCCATGGGACAGTGGGGCGCGGGACTGTGGGGCGGTGGGGCTGCGGCGACTACAGGGCTAGCGGGGCTCATGGCAGGGTTACGGGGCTACTATAACCCCGGCGAGCCCCTCAGTAGCACCGGGGTGACTGTGTACTTGGCACTGTGTTTGGTTTCACTAGCCACCACTACATTAGCCATCGTCGTGACTAGCACGGGGCTGCTGAGGGATCTTCACAGACCGGTGCTGGACGAGGTGAGTGACGTCATACTTATAGTGGCACTTAGACTTAAATCTATATACAAGACTAGGAATCATAAAGTTCTGCAAATAAAACCAAAACTATACACATTCTAGCCCTGGACAATGTCGAATCTTGATCTTTAAATAATGACCAAGACTGGACGGTTTACTGTGAACGTAAAAGCCTACCAATAGACCAATCACGAATATTAATATGCTACAAATCGAACACCGGCAACAAATAATTCCATTATGATATAAAACCTCAACCTATGTATAAATGCCACCAAGAAGAAAACGAAACGATAACACTATATACTACCATTACGGTATATATGACGATTCAAATGCATTCACATGCTCAAAGTAAAATAAATTCTTATGCTTGAAATCGGATTAAGGTAATTAGTGATCACTTGGGAGGTGCGCGGCATAAGAAGCACAAATAATGATGACTGAAACGTTTATAATTTGAGCAAAAACTAAATAAGCCTAGGGGACAACTATGTCAACACTTTCCTTACCAAATTCCCAATTCAAACACATAGAATAGGCCTACGAGATAATTTTGACACAAGGGCAAGCTATGTAGGTATCGTACCATAACTTCATTATAAACACTGTTACTCGGAAAACACTAGTCAGTATTGTTTAAACAACATTCTTAACGCGGCTATGACTTTATTAAACAATAAACAAGCATACATTTTAAAGCCTATAGTTCATTCATTTAAACCGCTATTACAATTACAACCCTAAATGTTAATAAATGTTAGACACCCAAACAACGTAAGATCCCTTGAACACAACACGACCTTCAAGCAAGTGCTGTTTTGAACCGAATAATCTATGTAAATGGATCTTTGATTGCGAAACCAATTTTGAGAATCCATTTGGGAAGATAGTTTCGTTTACCTTGATCAAGCACGAGGCCTCTGCATACCTTCATGTAGCTCATTCACGTGATTGGGCCACAGAAGAGATTGTAGTTTGCAAACACTAAACTTAAGGGCGAAGGACACCGACTTTTCTGTCTGTCGGTCCTCAATCATTCGAATCAAAACATCATCATAATTTCTTGAGATTGTTTAGGAATGGTTATGAATGCTTTGCATGTTCTAGAAATCACAAGGAATATGTTTGACTTTTATTTCATCATAAACAACTGCAGGCGTTTACTTTTTTCCAAATTGCCTTCTAGTAGGTTCTATACCACTATTACGCAAATAGTAGGCCTACGCCTACATACGTCCCCAAGAGGAACCTTCGAGAATCACTACACACTACGAATCATAATGGCAATCTTTTGTGGCATTAAAACTTGTTATTTTTT